AGTGTAGTCTAGGGCAGTACTGTTCAGTACAGTGTAGTCTAGGGCAGTGCAGTACAGTATAGTTCAGTTCAGTACAGTACAATGTAGTCTAGGGCACCACTGTTCAGTACAATGTGGGCTAGGGCAGTACAGTTCAGTTCAGTGTAGTGTAGTCTAGGGCAGTGCAGTTCAGTACAGTGTAGTTTAGGGCAGCGTTGTCCAGTACAGTGTGGTTCAGTTCAGTTCTGTTCAGTACAGTGTAGTCTAGGGCAGTACTGTTCAGTACAGTGTAGTTTAGGGTAGCGTTGTCCAGTACAGTGTGGTTCAGTTCAGTTCTGTTCAGTACAGTGTAGTCTAGGGCAGTACTGTTCAGTACAGTGTGGTCCAGTTCAGTTCTGTTCAGTACAGTGTAGACTAGGTCAGCGCTGTCCAGTACAGTGTGGTCCAGATCATTCTGTTCAGTACAGTGTAGTCTAGGGCAGTGCAGTTCTGTACAGTGTGGTCTAGTACAGTACTGTATAGTGTAATCTAGGGCAGTGCAGTGCAGTTCAATACTGTATAGTCCAGTTCAGTACAGTACAGTGTAGTCTAGGGCAGTGCAGTTTGGTACACTGTTATTCAGTCCAAAAAATGGGTATCCAGGTAAGCATTGTAAAGGAGAATCTGTGCTCAATTACAATCCAATGTCTTTCTGTGCAGTAGAGTCGAGTGCAGTGCAGTTCAGTACAGTACAGTGTTAATGAGTACAGTGATATTTAGTGCAGTAAAGTTCAGTGTTAATGAGTACAGTGTTATTCAGTACAGTGTAATTCAGTGCAGTACAGTTCAGTGATTTTTTGTGTACTCCAGTGCTGTTTGGTACAGTGTATTCAGTTCAGTGCAGTGTAGCCCAGTACAGTATTATTCAGTACAGTGTAGCCCCGTGGAGGGCACCTCAGTGCAGTATTATTTAGTGCAATGTAGTCCAGTTCAGTCCAGTGTTATTCAGTGCAGTGTAGCCCAGTGCACTGCAATTCAGTGCAGTGATATTCAATGTAGTGTAGTTCAGTGCAATGTTATTCAGTGCAGTGTTATTCAATTACGTTCAGTGCTGTCTTATTCAGTTCAGTTCAGTGCAGTATTATTCAGTTCAGTGCAGTGCAGTGTTATTCAATGCAGTGCAGTTCAGTGCTGTGTTATTCAGTGAAGTGTAGCCCAGTGCAGTTCAGTATAATGTTATTCATTGCAGTGTTATTCAATGTGGTGCAGTTCAGTGCAGTATTATTCAGTGCAGTATTATTCATTTCAGTTCAGTGCAGTATTCAGTGCAGTACAGTTCAGTGCAGTATTATTCAGTTCAGTGCTGTGTTATTCAGTACAGTTCAGCGCTGTGTTATTCAGTGCAGTACCATTCAGTGCAGTATTATTCAGTTCAGTGCTGTGTTATTCAGCACAGTTCAGTGCTGTGTTATTCAGTGCAGTGTAGCCCAGTGCAGTTCAGTGTAATGCTATTCAGTGCAGTGCAGTTCAGTGCAGTATTTTTCAGTGTAGTGCAGTGCAGTTCAGTGTAACTTAGCACAGAGCAGACAGTGTTTCCTCACCTATGCAGACGATGTCCATGAAGCCATACATGCCGTAGCAGATCTGGAAGAGCAGGTCCTGACGCTGCCACTTTGCAGAGGGGCTGAGGGACGACCAGATGAGCCAGGAGATGCTGGCAATGAGGAACAGGGAGCCCAGGATGATGGCCGCAATCTGCACCTTCTCAATCACTGTCAGCGAGATCGCCTGCCACTGGCACAGAGAGAAACAGAGCAAGAGAGGGAGGGTGAGAGACAACAGACAGCTGCTTAATGAGGAACCTGAGTGGGGTCACAGCTTGGCATGTAGCCCCCCAGGCAAGGCGCCTGCTACACCTTTTGTCCCAGCTGGAAAAACTCCAGCCTGATTCTCCAAACCTGGAGTATGTTTCAGCAAATGTATATATCTAAAACGATATATATATATTTTATTCCATGCTGTTTCCATTCTGTTTATTTTCTGTGCTTTTCTTGTGTAAACAAGAAGAAAAGCCCTGTTTTTAGATCAAGACAGCTTCTGCTTCCGAGCGGAACACACCGGGATACTCGGAGCTCCGGTGGTCCGGGTGCAGGTCTTGTCACCAGGAGGTTCCTGGCTTAAACCCAACAGACGCTACCCTCCCCCGGCCCACCCTCCGAGGCAATTCCTGTGCATCCGCCGAAGCCCCCCGAAGAGAGCAGCAGAGGGCTTTACCTGCAGGGGATTCTTGGTGCTGATGGCCAGGACCTGGTATTTGAAGTAGCAGAGCTCACAGCTCCAGGATCCCCGCTCACTGATCCAGCGAATCAGGCAGGGCTGGTGGGTACAGCGGACCGAGCCGTCACACCGGCACGGGCTCAACAGCTCCCCCTGTGGGAGAGACAGAGCACAACGCCGCTGCTGTATTTACATCGCCGGAAGAGCACAGGCTCCACAGCTCCCCCTGCGGGAGAGAGGGAGAGAATACCGTACTCCTGCAGACGACGGTCAGCGAGAACAAGTGAGGGTGTGAGAAGAAGGGGAGGACCTGTCCGGCGTGTCTGCGCATCGGCTGCGAGATCTGCCTTCCCTGCGCAGCCAGATGCGCAGCCGGGTGCCCAGATGTGCGCAGACAGGAATGGGCGTCTGTGGCGGAGCGCACCAGCTCCCTGACCTACTTTCTCTCGCTTCGCTCCTCTCCTCGGGTTTCTTTCGAGCTCAGACGAGCGCAGGAGAAGGGGGATCTGGGGCGTAGGCGAGTGATAGGGTCCTGCAGTAAAACTTTGTTCTGGTCCACCGAGTTGAGGGGAGAGGGGTAGGCAGCTGCATCTTGGTGCAGGAAGGAGGCATCGGCGAAGTTTCTTAAAAGCCCCCCGGGATAATGGCACTGTGGTACCAGCTATCAGAGGGAAGGGTGGGCAAGCTTAGTGGAATCACGTCACAACTGTGTGCCTGGCGCGGAGCAGGAAGGACACAGGGACATGGGGAATTCAATTCGCTGCACAGCTGGGAGATGTGTTCAGAGCAATCGCTGCTCTTTATGAAAAAAAACTGGCTCCCCTGTTCAAACCTACACACTCTCTCTGACCCCACGTGGGGCTCCTGGTCCTGCTTCTTTATTACGATGCCTGGCCCCTGCGCAGACTGCCGCCCGCCGAGAGAGACGGAGAGGGCCGCGTGGGCGACTGTGATTATCGGAGCGAGCAGCCGAGGCGCCGCGCACGGTGTGGAGATGTTTAAATCCAGCACCGACATGAGGCTCGTACAGCTCGATCGTCTGCTCCGTGTACTGTGTGCTCCGTGCTTTGGTTTCAAACAAACGTTTCTCACTCTTGCGCTTTTGTCAAGCAGTTCGATGTCTCGCCACGCGCACTAACGCACCTACCCGCAGAGTCAATCTCCCAGCATGCCTGAAGCCAGCCCGCGCTCTTCATTAAGAGTTCGGCCTGACCTCTGACCTGGGTAATCTGTCAGCCCCCCACTGGAACTCATTAAGAGTTGCTCTCACCCCTGGGGCGGGCTACGGGCCTTGTCACGGGTCAGTACTGTAAACCCACTGGTTTCCCTCAGCTCAGCCACTTATTACATGAGCCAACACGTGTGCAAGAGCAAAAATAGATCAGGACACTTAACTCAGACTCTCAAGATGGAACAAAAGCTAGAAACAGCCTCAGTGTCTGCCAGCCGCCTCAGTCTGCCTCAGTGCCTCAGTTTGCCAGCCATTTCAGTCTCTCTCAGTGCGTCAGTCACTGCCAGCTGCCTCGGTCTCTCTCACAGCCTCAGTCACTGCCAGCTGCCTCAGTCTGCCTCAGTGCCTCAGTGTCTGCCAGCTGCCTCAGTCTCTCTCACAGCCTCAGTCACTGCCTGCTGCCTCAGTCTGCCTCAGTGCCTCAGTCACTGCCACCTGCCTCAGTCTGCCTCAGTGCCTCAGTGTCTGCCAGCCGCCTCAGTCTGCCTCAGTGCCTCAGAGTCTGCCAGCTGCCTCAGTCTCTCTCACAGCCTCAGTCACTGCCAGCTGCCTCAGTCTCTCTCAGCCTCAGTATCTGCCAGCTGCCTCAGTCTCTCTCAGAGCTCAGTCACTGCCAGCCTCCTCAGTCTGTCTTACACTCCCAGTGTCTGCCAGCTGCCTCAGTCTCTCTCACAGCCTCAGTGACTCCATCTCAGAGTCTCACAGCCTCACTCTCTCTAGCTCACTGTGTCAAGAGGAATCAATAGCCCATCTACTTAATAAACTGACTCACTTGACAAGTTTCTAATTATCATTAATATTTTATGCCTCCTGACAAGGCAAGTAATTGTGTTTGTGGAAGTAATTGGGCCACAAGCAGAGAGAAAACGCAGGCACCTGTTGAGCTGCAAAGCTGCAGGATACGCTTCACACCCTACAGAAGAGATAAACACTGTGAAAGCATCCATCCACCAAGGCTGACAGGCAGCACACAGCAACATCATCATCAACACCAGGAATCCGAACTGTGACCGTCAGCCCGAACCGTAACGCCTTACAGCTCACAGCAGCTACATCTCAGGTAAAATACCTTGACAACCGCTCTGTGTCCTGTGTCTGTCCAGCTCTGCTCTGTGCCCTGTGGTGTCTGTCCAGCCCTGCTGTGCGTCCTGTGATGTCTGTCCAGCTCTGTTCTGTGTCCTGTGTGTCCTGTGGTGTCTGTCCAGCCCTGCTGTGTGTCCTGTGATGTCTGTCCAGCTCTGCTCTGTGTCCTGTGTGTCCTGTGGTGTCTGTCCAGCTCTGCTATGTGTCCTTTGCTGTCTGTCTGTCCAGCTCTGCTCTGTGTCCTGTGTGTCCAGTGGTGTCTGTCCAGCTCTGCTCTGTGTCCTGTGTGTCCTGTGGTGTCTGTCCAGCTCT